TCAAAGGGAAAACAATAAACCTCATAACCACTAAACGAGTTTTCTGTCAAGGATCACATGTTTGATCCTCTAGGGCCGTCCAAACCAATTAACCATAAAGGGTAAAGCTGACAAGATGCATGGGGCTAAAATAGGTGGGACTGAACTTGCCCTAAAATGATCAACGGGATGAAAAGCCAAAGTATAAACACTTCATCAAATTAAATTTTCCCGACAAAAAGGTCAAGAGGGAAACAATGCACTTACATTTTCTTTATGCCAACAGAGTTTTTGGCCGACTTAATGGTAATGCTGAAGGAAACACTAATTACTCAAAGGCCAGTAGCACCTTGAAGGTCAGAACATACCAAATTGGGAAATGACCACCTATGTAGGTACAAAATTAGCTGTCTATCCAACAAAGACTTGATCATCTCACTAAAAAAACCCTATCTGGGTGATAATGAAACATTTTTTCCATGGTTAAGAAAAATAAGAGAACTGGTCTATGTACAGAACAGAGTAAGAAATAAAAGAGATCAGAGGATTATATCTTTTTCCACGTCTCTACCCCAAAAGAACCAGCGCATTTTCCGTGGGCCCCACTCAAGAAATTTTTGGGTAAAAAATTATGGTCCACGGGCCGAACGGCTCTCTAAGAAAAAAAACTGGCCTCACACAAAATTCACATTAGCCAAAGAAAACAGTCTGCTTGAAACCCGCAGAAAAAAGTTGGTAAAACTGCAAAAAAACAAAATAGTCTTGATGGGTCTAAATACTCATCTTTGGTAAAATCTTAAGAGTTACAGCTCTTGTCTTTAAATTCATTAAAGGAATAAAACCTGATTAAATACTTTAACCCCTTAAAAAACTGGGTGAAACTAATACGGAAAGAGTTTTCTCTACAGAAAAAATTTCTAAAACACAAAAATAAACCCCAAAGAAAAACCGCAGATTTAAACTTTTGGATTTTTTCCGACTCAAAAAAATTTTAAGATGTCGAGGGAAAAAATTTATAAACTTTAACTACCTAAAAAGCCATACCCAATATTTTTTTCCCCCAAAAACATTGGGTAACAAAACAATTTTGGGAAAAACCCCCGTAACGTGTTAATGGTGGGGTACGACACACTTTTCATATACGACAATCCACGGGTACCTCAAGGGCGCAAAGGTTTTAAAAAACAAACAAAGGACTTATTTCTTTCGTCACTACGATATGCGAGTAGGGCATATCCAGGGCCACCCCAATCCCTCTGAAAGAGTTTTTCATATCACTCCATTTAGGGACAGGTGTAGATTAAACTGGACCAATAATTTTAACCAAAAAAGTTGCCCAAAATTCCCACAAGGAATCTGTTTGTTCACTTTTGCTACGACTGAGCAGTACATCTAAAGTGCCACTGACGTCCTGAAACCTTTTCAAATTTTTCAAAGGTTTTTCAGCCAAAGGGCTGTCCCCGACTGAGTTTTTAGAAATGCAACGAACTTTGTGCTGGGTTTCTGCTTTTAAAGCAAAACTTTGATCAAACCCGAAGTACAACAATGCGAACAAGCAGTGTCGTTTGAGATACATTCCCCCAAATCCCATGGGCCCGGCGGATTTTTTAAAAAAATGATCGGGATTGTAAACGTTTTTTCAGGAAGACCTTCATCCCCTCAGAGAATAGACTTTAAAAAATTTCCCAAAAGTTGTGACTGAAAAAAAAATAGAGTTAACAACAGACCCTAAATAGTTTCCGAGACGGACAATTTTGAAGTGTTAAGTCCATCCATTTTCTACATGCAGAAGGGCCCAACCGTTTCCTCCCATAAGATAAAGAAATCATAGAAGAATCCTACTTTTTCGAACCTGAGCAACCGACGAAAAACAAACACCTAGTAAAGTGTTTTAAAGTTTTGGGGAAAAAATTTGGGGAAAGACTATCCACCTCATTGAAGAACACTTCTAGGACTGGTGTTCCTGAAAAACATAAGTCCTTATAACTGGGACATGTGTTATTGACAATGATGGGCCGGTCCCAAAGGCCACTTGGGAAAAAATTTTTACCATATATCCGATGCAATGGAATCATCAGACAGTCGAGTTTTAAACAAAGGTGTATAATAAGCGACAATAAAAAAAAAAGGGGCCCTTAGAATTTAAAAGTGGGTTTAAAACAAAATTAGTGATTCTCCAGAAAACCCCACAGACTAAAACGTTAAAAAACAGCACAGGGTGGGGATGAAAAATCAAATTAATTTAAGTGATGAAAAGTCACCCCGCAGGAAACCCGCCCCCCCCCAGTTGGGGGAAATTTTCCCAGGGGGGGGGATAACCCCTTCACCCTTTTTAGCCCCCTTTTAGCCCCTTTCACCCTAGGGGGCCAAGCCCCCCTCAAAGGGGGGAGCATCGTTTTCTGCTACAAGATAATTGATCACAGATGCCATACGCGACGTTCAGGACCCTGCCCCTTACAGCAGGGTTTCAAAGTTATTCTAAAAAGAGACAGTAATTTCTTATTTTTGCAGGACAATTTAAAGGGAAAAACCTGCTTCCCCTTTTTTTACCATGGTAAAAAAAGTGGGCATTGTTGTCTATGCTAAGACAGCAAAAATCAACATTCTGCTTTGCTTCAACGAGAAGTGGGAAGGGGCAAGGTTTTTAAAGGCACTTTTTTTTTTGTGCTAGGGGGGCAACGGGGTGGGGGCGCTGTGGCGTCGGGAGATTACTTTTGACTCACTGAAGTGCACTGACGCCAGGAAACCAAAAAAAGAACACTGATTTTTGCGTTAGGGGGGACAAAGTTCTCACAAAAAAAACGAAAACACTACAGAAAGTGTATTAACTTTTTAGGATATTGGTTTAACAATTATTTATAACAGTGTAACAACGATGTTGCAATCCAAAAATGAGTGCACATTCTTTAAAAAACACATCTCAATCAACTCAACGGATACCGGGGGTAATTTCGGGGCAGATACATAACCCAGTAAGTGGGTTTAATCATGTTACTACTATTGCTGCCATTGAGTATAAAGTCGTGATTAGTCACTATCATAAACCCCGGGGATATCGGGCCATTAGTCCACACAATAATCCCAGCCCCTCATTGAAAGAAATAAGCTGACATAAACCCCCTGGGGTAATTTTTTTTTTAAACTACAAATTATAATTTTTTGACAGCCCATTTGAATGGTTCGACAGCTTCTAGACCTCGTCTGCAGGGGCCTTCAGACATTTCTGCTTTTATCACTAAGTGTTCCTAATTTATATTTTAAAAACTTAGCTGGTAAAAACCATTCTCAACAGCACGACAAATAATATATAATTATATATTATATATATAAATAATATATTAAAATTTTTATAAAAATAAATATAAAAACTCAACAGCAAAATATAGCAAAAATTTGAAGAGAGTCTAGACTGACAAAATATTATCAATAAAATTTTTATATTTAGATGATTTTTAAAATAAAAATAGTTCTGGGGTTTTAAAAAATTATATTAATTTTTTAAAAAATAAAAAAAAATTTTGAGGGATTTTTGCTAATTTTAAATGATGTCACGAAAATTTTAAGTGACTTATAAGGGTGATTGATATTTCAGCTTTAAAAGCTTTTTGCCCCCGATATTTTACCGTTTGTTGAAATTAATTAATCAAGAAAACGTTTGGAAAAATATATATATATATATATATATATATTTTATATATATATATATATATTATATATAAAATATATAATATATATATATATATAATATATATATATATATATATAATTTTTTATAATATTATATATATATATATATATATTTTATATATTATATATATATAATTATATATATATATATATATATTTTATATATATATTTAATATAATATATATATAAATATATAATATATATAAATATATATATATATATATATATATATAAAATATAATAATATATATATATATATACAAAACAACCACTGTGAAAGAATAGAGGAATTCCCAGGGCTTTCGTGACTACTCACATTATCAAGGAACAATAAAAGTAATGCATCAAAGGAAGGCATATAAAAGGTCTAGACCACACCTCACTATCATATCCCACAACAAAGCAACACCTGACGCACGACTCATAAGAAAGGGAACACTGCAGTAGGCCCACTGGCCAACCTAATTTGAGTCGTTAGACGGTGTGGCCTTGAGTGGAGCAAGAACAGATCTATTGTTAAAGCTCCTGGACCGAGGAAAGGAGTTCAGTTGGGTTGCAGTTGTTGCCTTTGACGGAATAAATACTGTAATAGTTCCAATTCCTTCCTCTTAGAGGCCAGTTTCGCCTAGACAATAGGGCATCGGACAATCAGTTTACGGAACGCAGTTGGAGCCTGAATTTTCTACCATTTTTTAATTTTTTCTAGCCTTTCCAAAAGGAGTCGGTGTTGTTCTACCTAGAAATATGCAAAGTAGACGCTACACAAATGTAGTCTTTTGGATTGTCGTCTAGCCAAGTGTCACTCGGGAAATATATCTGTAGAATATTTTAAAGTTTCGGTGTAGGAAATTAAACATGATCGTGAATAAAATTATTTGTGAACTTGTGAGCTTTAAAATTATGCTAAAGTTTGGAGATATGGAAATATAATGAAAAACTGATAGGTTCTAACAGGCTGGTGAACCGTCGATGATCGAATAAAAATAAAAATGCGCTGATGAACCTATTTTCCTTAATCAGATTAAAACATTTCATATTCCTTTATTCAGCTTTATTAAGTGAAAATTTTCGGAGTATATTCAATGAGACTTTTTTAATCTCGAGAATAAAGACTAAGGTATCCTTGACTGGTGGTGCACAGGTTACCTGCAACCTTAGTCACCTTTTAAGGAGTCGATAGCCTAAAAATCCAATTAAGCAACCAACCTGAATCCCACCTCAGAACGTTGTTTACATACCCAAGTACATGATAACATTCATTTCACGAAGTAGAAAACCTTTGTAGGAACCATAATATTCTTACACTGAAAATATTTCAGAACACGTAACATACCTGCTTTGTGCTGCTCTCTCTCTCCTGTAGAGGAAACACCAGGAAGGACGCGGAGAGAAAGGCCAGGGCCAGAGGCATCATGTTAGAGTAGACGATGCTGCCCATGGTGAACTCCGAGGTAAACTTCCACTGCAAGTACACCATTTAATAAACATATGTCATATTTAATGAAAGTTTGCCTATCTGTTGCCATGAAGATTGAAATGCTTATATACTGTGCAAACTGGTAGAGAGAGAGGAGATTCTTCTCACTATCAGAGAACGTAGGATTGAGCCTCTAACACACTCTGTGATGAATGATGCATGTGGTCACAGAGATAACTGCATTAACTGCTTGGAATCAACAGAATTAGAATTACTAGCCCACTGGCACACAAAAGATTATGATTTGGGTACCACTATCGAGAACTTGAATGGAAAACAAGAACTTAAGAGTGCAGGCACTCTACTTTCCACCACCACCCCACCTTAAGAGTGCAGGCACTGTACATCCCACCATCATCCAACCTTAAGAGTGCAGGCACTGTACTTCTCGCTTCCACTCCATCTTCAAAAGTGATGGCACTGTACTTCCCACCACCACCCCGCCTTAAGAGTGCAAGCACTGTACTTCCCACCACCACCCCACCTTAAGAGTGCAAGCACTGTACTTCCCACCACCACCCAGCCTTAAGAGTGCAAGCACTGTACCTCCCACCACAACCCAGCCTTAAGAGTGCAAGCACTGTACTTCCCACCACCACCCCGCCTTAAGAGTGCAAGCACTGTACCTCCCACCACAACCCCGCCTTAAGAGTGCAAGCACTGTACTTCCCACCACCACCCCAACTTAAGAGTGCAAGCACTGTACTTCCCACCACCACCCCACCTTAAGAGTGCAGGCACTGTACATCCCACCATCATCCAACCTTAAGAGTGCAGGCACTGTACTTCTCGCTTCCACTCCATCTTCAAAAGTGATGGCACTGTACTTCCCACCACCACCCCGCCTTAAGAGTGCAAGCACTGTACTTCCCACCACCACCCCACCTTAAGAGTGCAAGCACTGTACTTCCCACCACCACCCCGCCTTAAGAGTGCAAGCACTGTACTTCCCACCACCACCCCGCCTTAAGAGTGCAAGCACTGTACTTCCCACCACCACCCCGCCTTAAGAGTGCAAGCACTGTACTTCCACCACCACCCCCACCTTAAGAGTGCAAGCACTGTACTTCCCACCACCACCCCGCCTTAAGAGTGCAAGCACTGTACTTCCCACCCCACCCCGCCTAAGAGTGCAAGCACTGTACTCCCACCACCACACCACCTTAAGAGTGCAAGCACTGTACTTCCCACCACCATGCCACCTTAAGAGTGCAAGTACTGTACTTCCCACCACCACCCCGCCTTAAGAGTGCAAGCACTGTACTTCCACACCACCCGCCTTAAGAGTGCAAGCATGTACTTCCACCACCACCCCACTTAAGAGTGCAAGCACTGTACTTCCCACCACCACCCGCCTTAAGAGTGCAAGCACTGTACTTCCCACACCACCCCGCCTTAAGAGTGCAAGCACTGTACTTCCCACCACCACCCCGCCTTAAGAGTGCAGCACGGTACTTCACACCACCACCCCGCTTAAGAGTGCAAGCACTGTACTTCCCACCACCACACCACCTTAAGAGTGCAAGCACTGTACTCCCACCACCCCCCCCGCCTTAAGAGTGCAAGCACTGTACCTCCCACCACAACCCCGCCTTAAGAGTGCAAAGCACTGTACTTCCCACCACCACCCCGCCTTAAGAGTGCAAGCACTGTACTTCCCACCACCACCAGCCTTAAGAGTGCAAGCACTGTACTTCCCACCACCACCCCGCCTTAAGAGTGCAAGCACTGTACTTCCCACCACCACCCCGCCTTAAGAGTGCAAGCACTGTACTTCCCACACCACCCCGCCTTAAGAGTGCAAGCACTGTACTTCCCACCACCACCCCGCCTTAAGAGTGCAAGCACTGTACTTCCCACACCACCCCGCCCTTAAGAGTGCAAGCACTGTACTTCCCACCACCACCCCGCCTTAAGAGTGCAAGCACTGTACTCTCCCACCACCACACCACCTTAAGAGTGCAAGCACTGTACCTCCCACCACAACCCCGCCTTAAGAGTGCAAGCACTGTACTTCCCACCACCACCCCGCCTTAAGAGTGCAAGCACTGTACTTCCCACCACCACCCCGCCTTAAGAGTGCAAGCACTGTACTTCCCACCACCACCCCGCCTTAAGAGTGCAAGCACTGTACTTCCCACCACCACCCCGCCTTAAGAGTGCAAGCACTGTACTTCCCACCACCACACCCCGCCTTAAGAGTGCAAGCACTGTACTTCCCACCACAACCCCGCCTTAAGAGTGCAAGCACTGTACTTCACACCACCACACCACCTTAAAAAGCAACAGAAACTGGAGAAATTTGTTAGTGGGTTAAAAAGTTCTACTCCTTAAATTCTTGCCTGGAAAGATTTATATAAAATAACTAGGAAAAAAGAGAGGTAATGTTTATTCTTTTCCTCTGTAAAAAAAACTAATGACCTCATAAATAACTGGGCCAAAATATCTAGGTAGAGGAATCTCCCAAGAAAACATTTCTGCAGACAAGGTGAAATTGATTTATTTTCAGTCAGAATATTGATAAAAGTTGTTGTCTCTTAACTTGCTATTATTTAGATGTTGCGTTAAATGAAGGTCATTTAGTAACTCCAGGAGAGGATGCTATAATTTATGATACCCTTAGATCTTTTATTTAAGCCTCTGATAATCTTTTGTTACAACTGTGTAGTCTTCCTATTTCCTCGATAAGATGAGTATTTAGATCCATCAATGACTATTTCTGTTGTGTCTGCAGTATTTACACAACTTATTTCTGCTGTGTTCAAGCAGACTGTTTCTTCTGGCATAATGTGAGCTTTTTGCTGAGGCCAGTTATTTTCATCAGAGAGCCAGTTCGGTCCGTGGAGCCATAATTTATTATCCACAAATTTCTTGAGTGGGACACCACGTGACAACATGTCAGCTGGATTCTCTTGGGTAGAGACGTGGAGAAAGAGATAATCTCTCTGCATCTCTTTTATTTCTGCTACTCTGTTCTGTACATAGACCAACTTACTCTTATTATTTCTTAACCACTGGAGAACTGCTTCATTATCACTCCAGATCACGGTTTTCTCAATAGTGAGATGATCAAGTACTTTGTTGAGATAGACAGCTAATTTTGTACCTACATAGAGTGCTGTCAGTTCCAATTGTGGTACTGTTCTGACCTTCAAGGGTGCTACCCTGGCCTTTGAAGTAATTAGTGTACTTCCTTCAGCATTACTCATGTAAGCTACAGCGCCATAACCTCTGGTTGACGCATCACAGAACACATGTAATGTGTACTTGTTCCCTCTTGACCTATTTGTCTGGGAAATTTAATTTGATGAAGTTGTTTAAACTCCTTGGATATTTCATCCCATGCTTGACTCATTTCTAGAGGCAAGTTCTCATCCCATCCAATTTGAGTTTCCATGCATCTTGCATAAGCATTTTACCTTTTATGGTAATTGGTGAGACGAGTCCTAGAGGATCAAAACATTGTGATACCTCTGACAGTAAACTACGTTTAGTGAGTGGACTGCATGATTTATTGTTTATCTTTTGAGACTCAGAGTATCTTCCTGTGTGTTCCAATTAAGTCCCAGCATATTGTTGCAATCAGGAATTTCAGTTTCAGGGAAATCTTCTTTGATAAGTTCCCTTAATTGCTTTGAATTTGTATTCCACATCCTTAGAGGCATATTTGCTTCTTTCATCTCCTTGTTAGCTTCTCTGTATAAGGATTTCAAATCCTCCTCTTTATTCACAGTACCTTGAAGATTGTCCACATAGAAACTTTTCTTAAGACTTCTTTGAAGGGACTTTCAGATTTCTTCAAATGTGTATTTAGAGTAGCTTCTAGTAAGAATGGAGAGGATGTTGCACCAAATAATTGATTGAACGATAATTTTTACAGCTTGGGGGATATGTATTTTCAGGCCACAAGAATCGAG